TGGGACTGGTCCCGCTGGCGCAGGGTAGCAGGAAACTCTCCGCACACTCACCGGACCTGGGCTAGGACTGGGTCTGGGGGCTCCCGGAACTTGGCCCCCTATGAATTTTTAAAAATTAGACATTAATCATATTTTTATAACATCATCCTTAGGCAAATATATATTTATGTGTATGTATATGCATATATGTGCATGCTTTAAAATAAATTAACATTGTTTAACAATGTGATACAGTAAAATTCTTCGGCTCTAATTATGAAGCTATTTTAAAAAATTTACTACTGTGAACTACCCACCTAATACAGGAAAATAATTCATCTTAATATGAAGTATCTGTAAGTAATAAGCCCAGTTCAATGAAAACTTTTAAAAGGAATTATACTATTTTAGTAGCCAGCATAATTGTTATCCAAATTACTTCAGGCAAATAATCTTTGACTCATGGTACTTCACATATGGAAATAATTATCAATGATGATTCTGAATAATCCATTAGGACTATAAATCTTGGTAACAAAATACCACAGAAAATGGTAAATTTTGCCATTTGGCTCAGATGTAAAAATAGACTATCAAAACAAGTTTTTAGTCCTAGCTGCATCAGGAAGGAAAAAAATGAATTCAATTATTTAATCAAAGAAATAATGCAGATTTCTTGCAAATTCAAAGCAAAGGACAGAAGTTAGGTTACTAACTGATAGGATTTTGAAACATGATTTGAATTTTGAGCTTTGTTTCTCTATTAGTTTCCAAATTGAATACTGGTTCTTCAAAGAAACAGAGAAAGATTTAAGTAATGGTTCTTTCCAGATCAATAAAGTAAGTATCTTTATGGATATAGTACAATAAATAGTGCTGCGTCTGTAGAGCTACCTGCTAAAAGTGAATTGCTAAGAACACAAATGACTTGACAGAAAAAAAGATCTTATAAACATTACATTTTTTAACCACCTCCAAAACTCTTATTTATAAACTACTTTTGATAGTTTTAACTAATGTTTATATAGTTTTGGTAGTGTTTTAGTTTGAATGCTTAATAAACACATTTTTAATATTATCTACATGCTTATCACTTTAATGTTTGTGCATCATTCTCTTTGTTATGTACTGTCAATTATTTTCTCTTTCCCAAAATAGTGGATACTTTCATCCATCTTGTCCATAGTTATTCTTTGTTTTGAGGTTTTTCACTAGAATATGTTTCCAATATTATATATACCATATGACTTATACATTGGTTTTTGAGGCTGCTCTCACAAGGTGAAATTGGGGCAATGTGCAAGTATTAATGTCCACTGTATTTAATTAACCACAGTGAGTCAGCATCAGTCATAAGGAAAACTATTGGTTTCTATAACACTTAGAAAGTTTAAAATATTGCCAATTCCATGGTGACTCAGTGTGTTAAAATGGTGCCTATCATAAGAGATGTCCTAACTCCAAAGAAATTAAAATAGAAAGAAATACACATCTTATGATCATTTAGATGCAGAACTTTTTCTAATGCTTTGCTAACATTGGTTATATCTGTATTTTTTCTTCTGCTAGTTTAAGTTTAATGTATATATGATGTTCCTGAATTATTTCAATTTGCATTATAACTACTGAATATTTTTAATGGGATGACTTTTCATATGTAAATTGACTATTCACATCCATCCATTTATTAAGGAAGAATGAACAGTAAGATAATTTGGGAGATGCATTGGGCACATATTTCTTCTATCCCATTCTGTTGCTTCCATTTTGTGGTTGTTGTATTACATTTTAAATTGGAATGTTTCTGTAGATCTGTAATGAAATTCTACGTTTTTTTCGATAATCAGAAATACATTTCTTCTCTAAGTACCATAGAAAGATACAACAGTTTCTACCATTTCTTTCTTTCTATTAAGATTTTATTGCAATTGCAATTTATGGTTTGAGGTTTGTCTTGAGTTTGTATTAGATAAAGCTCAATATTGGCTTCTAGTTTTCCAAAAAAGATGTGCTAAATTTTTGGTTTTTCCTCTGATCCTGTTGCTTCTAGTTCTTACATATGCAATTCTTGTAAGTTGTACATGTATATAACTATGACTTACACATGCTTTATTAAGCATCACACAGTATTATATATTATTGAAAGCTCTTTGTGATAGATAAATCAAAATACAGCAGTCCCTCATTTATCCAGGAAGTTACCATTCAGACACCCCTGCCATAAGAAGAAGTCAGAGAAGTATTG